CTCCACTTATAAACATAGGTGGTCATTATAAATCAAAACAAGAAAAAGTACTATAATAATACGTAAATGTGGACTTGTGTATCTTAGATGTAACTCCAAAATAATACGTAAATGTGGACTTGTGTATCTTAGATGTAACTCCAAGTCTCATCATCTCTGTTCTCATCTAATTACCACTATTACATAGTTTGTCTTTTGTGTGCCTAAATGCATATTACTGGTTATATATCACATTTTTTATTTGATACCATATTTTTCACACTTACAAACCCTGCTTAATCTATTGCTTGCAAGATGCAATGGATCATTTTAATACTCACAATTTGTCTTGACAACTGTGTATTTAAGTTAAAGTTTCCTATATTAAATGGAGGCCGGGAGTGTTAAAAATAAAATATCATTATAAAAGTTTTTCAAGCCTTGATTAAAGTGATTTATAGAAGTGATATCAATATAAATTGAAAGTTTTGGGTTAATTTCATTGACAACTCTTCAGATTTGGCCAAATATCACGTTCAAACATCTTTTAAAAATTATTATCATTAACATTTCAAATCATTTTTCTGTCATTAACACCTAACATTTTTACTGTCATTTTTTTTTTTTTTAATGCCTTTTAATTTAAAATAGCATAATTATAAAAAGATGAAATTACACCCATTAATTACCCAACACCCTCACCCTCACTCGTACTTTCTCTCTTTATCTTCGGCCACTTCCCACCACCTCACCACCATTGCCAGTTGATATCTTGCTGTAGGTTTTGGAATTGGGGATAGTGGTTCACTCGATTATCATTGGAATTTCATTGGGTGCTTCTAAAAGTCCCAAAACAATAAAGCCTCTTGTAGCTGCCCTCCCCTTCCATCAATTTTTTGACGCCATGGGACTTGGTGGATGTGTAGTACCCAATTTCATTACTATTTGAATAAAGATATTGTTGGTAAAGTTGTTATTACATATCTATTTTTATATTTGATTAGGCATAGGATTTCAGAGAGAGATGGTGAACAATCACCAAATAAATAAAGAGCCTGTTTGGTTTGCAATTATAAAAATAATTTTTTATTCTCAAAAAATTGTACAAAAATTTTTGGTTGGTTCAGTTTTTTAAAAATTCAGTTATAAAAAAATATCTTTTATTATTCTCTCAAAACTGTTCATATGTGGAGACTAGAAGAAAACAATTATAAAATAAAGAGATTTGAAACATATATAATGGTGATCGAGAAATTGGAAATGTGCATAGAGATATTGAAATTGGTCATAGAGTTTGTGGTCGTCTTCATTGAAGCTGTTGCTGTTGTTATCAATCAGAGATCATCAACTATCACTGTTCCTCTCCCCTATCTTGTTCTTCTTTAGTCATTATTTTTTATTATTTTTTTCTTCTTCTTCTTCTCTAGATTTATGGGTATGTGCCTGTATCTAATATGAATTGTATGGATTTCATTGGATGAACATTTAAATTCATGAATTTTGAGACTACCAATGTTTTGCAGTTGGTACATTTTATTTCTTAAACATAAAATGATGTTGCTATGGCTAAAGTAATAATTTAATGTGATTTTACTTTTATTTATGTCAGAGTACTGTCTGAGATGCTTGTACCCTTTTTTTTTTTGTTTTTTTGAGAAAATTTGAAGGCACCAATGGAACATAGTAGGTGTTGCTTTGTGTTTGTATACCAGGATAAGAACTTTAATTTACATGCTATTTAAGGATTTAAATTAAAGAGGATAAGAGCAATTGTGGTTGCATTATTTCCTAAAATGGGCATAATTAATAATTGAGATTGTGCACCCAAAAAAAAAAAAAAAGGGTAAAAGTGTAAAATACTCCCCTATATTATACCAATATTATATAATGTCTCCTTAATTATTTTTTTGAAATAAGTTGATCCCTTTGACTATCCAAAACAAGCAAAATGTCTCTTTAAATGGCACTAAAAATTAATTTCCAACCAATAAAAGAGCACAATTACTAATTCATCCTTACTTATTAATTTATTATAATAAATCAAAATATCTGAATGACCACTTTGCACCTATCTTCTTCCCTCTTTCATTTTTTTTTCTCTGCCTTTTTTTTCATCTCTCTGCTCTCTCTGTTTCACTTACTTCGCCACCCACCATGGCCACCACCCCTCATCTCTCTTCTCCACTGATGTCGCTGCCCATCATCTCCATCACCCACTCTCTCTCTCTCTCTTCTCCACCTCATCCATGTCCGTATGTGTATATATACTCCGTATATATTTATATATAGGCGTGGACCATGACCAAATTTATCCCTTCATCGTTGAAATTTCTGTATGATGGGAGAGAATAAGGATCACTACTCTTGAAGTCCCTGACTACTAATTTTTCCCCTTGCACAACAATCACTTTTAACAGCCCCAAAGGTTCTCCCATAGTCCACTCCTACAAAGGCATCAACTTCAGAAATAAGGCAATAACTACAACCTGTAAAGCCAATACAATTTTGAAAAAAAACACAGAACTATGAGAACAATCTCAAACTTCTCAACCAAAGCAAGCTATACAGAAACAGAATAATTATCATTTATCATCTTTAAAGACATGCTTATTTGCTCCCCAAACATACGCTGATCCCAACTGAAGACCCCAATGAACAAGTCAGCACTTTGAAAGGAAAACCTAACAATATAAAAGAACAAAAAAAATATATATATATATTGACCAGGTTCAATGTATAAACTGTCAGTTGAAGAACAATAAAGAATAAGTTCTCAGTTAAAAACCAGATTTCGAGAGAGAGAGGGTCATGTATGGAAAAATCAATGGTTAAAAAAAATCAAATAACTGAAGCTCTCAAGATTAACTTTCTTTGATTCAATTATTCATTCTCAGCTGAAATACACACCAGAGAAACAGAAGTAAACGAAGTAAAATGTATGAAACCCTATATCACAGATAGGGAGAAAGAGACCACCTTCAACTTGAATGTAGAAATTAAAAGCAAAAAACCGTCGATATAGTTATGTATAACTTATAAACACAAATGTAGCGACAATATGGTAAGTTCCAGACAAAATCAAAGCAAGGAATCAAAACACGAAGACCAAAAAATCATCAAATTAACTCAAACTCCTGGTTGAACTGAAGCTCACTGGGTTTGACGGCGAAGTACTTCTGGTTGCCACGGAACCCACACCTCCATCACGGTGGCCGGTTCGGTCGTCACCGACGAGGGCCTCATCGGGTATGCTCCCTCCTCTGGGCATTGATTGCGGCGCTATGTAAACATTGGTAGTCAGGGACTTCAAGAGCAGTGATCCTTATTCTCTCCCATCACACAGAAATTTCAATGATGAAGGGATAAATTTGGTCATGGTCCGCGCCTATATATATATATATATATATACATATACATATACGTTTACATATACACATACGGACTGAGGTGGAAAAGAGAGAGACTGAGCGGTGGATGATGGGCAGCCACATCAGTGGAGAAGAGAGATGAGGTGTGGTGGCGATGGTGGGTGGCGAAGAAAAGAGAGAGAGAGAGAGAGAGAGAGACAGCAGAGACATAAAAAAAAAAACAGAGAAAAAAAATGAAAGGGGAAAGAGATAGGGGCAAAGTGGTCATTTCATGATAGCAGATATTTTGATTTATTATAATAAACTAATAAGTAAGGCTAAATTAGTAATTGTGTTCTTCTTAACTTTTGGTGACTTTTAAAGAGGCATTTTGCTTGCTTTTGATAATTAAAGGAACAACTTGCTTTAAAAAATAATTCGGGGTATTTTGCTTTTTTGGCAAAAAAAAAAAAAAAAAAGGAAAAAAAGAGATTGACTAAGAGAAGGTTGAGTATTCTGAATGTACACATGAACCTACCAAATTTCAAGGAATTGGAAGAAATTGAGAAAAAAACGAAGGGGGGTTAATCCAGCAAGTAATTTTTTTTTGGTGGATAAATTTATTCTTTCTATCATTTTAGACGAATATACTTCAAAATTCATATAAATTTGTGTTTCCCAGCTGAAATTCTGTGAGACCACTTCAAGATCTCAACCACCACGTTTTAGAACAATAGTCATATGGAGTAGTGTTGGGATTGTACCAATTAAAAGAGCAACCCGCACTAGACTCAAGCCGTTGCAAAGCAAAAGTGTAGAGCAAAACTGTCTAAGTTCTTTATCAAATGCATACATTACTTATATCTCCTTATACATGAACTCCATAATGTTGTACTTGAGTTACTTGCAATATAATTTGGGGATGTACACATATAAATGCCAAATACATACACATACACATATATATTGAAATAAGTAAATAGTGGGCGCGTAAATTTAACCTTTGTCACACATAAGACCATGATACACATGACTTTTATAAGATCGTTATTTGTATTTTATTTGTATTATTTGTTAAAAAAAAATTGGGAGAGGTTGAATTGTCTAGAATAGTGTCACTGAAATGGTTTCTCTATTACGGAAATTATCATTGTCACCCTCGCAATCTGTGCTTCTTTTGATCATTGTTAAATTTTGAATATTGAAATTGATTGCAATCACTCTATGATCTTTACCTATATTATGACTAGCCACTCATATAAGTCATATGATCATATCCAAGAAAGTGCACATATCCACTGTTGATTAAAAAGGCACCCCCATTTATATGTTATTGCGGAATAAAAATTGTTGCTTCTTGTCTTAATTTTATATTTTGTTCTAGTGAAGCTTTATTGTAGTTGATAACAACTTGAATTAAAAAAAATTGATTAGTGTACAAAGACAGACACTTCTATTTAAATACATTAGCCATGTAATAATAGAAAGAATACACAAATGCCTTTTTAATTAATTCTTACACAACTTTTACAAATAACCATTCAAATGATGAAAAGATCGCACAACTGTCTGCTGTTTAGAAGCTCATCTTGAAGACTGACTCTGTACGTACGTATATTCTCGAGCTAAAATTAATGATAAGCACAAATAAAAAAAATGTTAATGGTGAACTATCTAGTAGCCTTGGAACATTGGCGGAGGTGGGGAAGAGTATACAGCACCCAAAATTGGTGGGATAATGAAGTCATCTGGTCCAGGTGGTGGTAAAATAACAGTTTGAGTAGGAGGAGGAATTACAGATCGTACGGGTGTTGGCGTCGGTGGATGTGATTGAACCGTTGGTGGGACAGGAGATGGTTTAGGAGGAGATGAAACTGGTGTAGAAGTTGGTGGTGGTGGTGGTGGATGCGATTGAACCGGTGGTGGGACAAGAGATGGTTTAGGAGGACTTGAAACTGGCGTAGAAGTTGGAGCTGGGACTAGAGATGGCGTAGTGGGTTTAGAGGGCGCAGGAGTTGGTGTCAAAATTGGAGTTGGGGATGGAGATGGCTTAGGAGGTTTCTTAGGTGGGGAATTTGGTGGTCCAGTAGGAGTCGGGATTGGAAATGGTTTAGGAGGAGATGAGATAGGTGTATGAGTTGGAGCAGGGACTGGAGATGGCTTAGGAGGTTTTTAAGGTGGAGAATTTAGTGTTTGAGCAGGGGTCGGGACTCGAGACGATTTAGGTGGTGCTGAAGTTGGTGTATGAGTCGGGGCCGGGACTAGAGATGGCTTATGAGGTTTTTGAGGTGGAGAAACAGGTGTTTGAGAAGGAGTCAGGACTAGAGATTGCTTAGGAGGTGTTGAAACTGGTGTATGAGTTGGAGCCGAAACTGGAGATGGCTTAGGAGGTTTCTGAAGAGGATTAACTTGTGTTCGAGTCGAAGCTGGGGCTGGGACAGGAGACTGTTGAGGAGGTTTCTGGGGAGAACTTGGTATTTTAGTAGGAGTTGGAACTGGGGATGGTGTAGGAGATTTTTGAGGTGGAGAACTTAGTTTTGGAGTTGGAGTTGGATTTAGAGTTGGAGATCGTTTAGGAGTTGAAGAAACCAGTGTCAAAGTTGGAGTTGGGAATGGAGATGGCTTATGAGGTTTCTGTGGAGGCTGAATTGGTGTTCGAGTAGGAGACGGGGCAGGAGACACTTTGATAGGTTTAGGGGGAGTTGAAATGGGTGTTTGAGTCAGAGCTAGGCCTGGAGATACTTTGCCAGGTTTAGGAGGAGTCGATACTGGTGTTCGAGTCGGAGCTGGGCCTGGAGATGCTTTGTTAGGTTTAGAAGGAGCCGAAACTGGTGTTCGAGTCGGAGCTGGGCCTGGAGATGCTTTGCCAGGTTTGGGGGGAGCTGAAACTGGTGTTCGAATCGAAGATGGGCCAGAAGATGCATTGATAGGTTTAGGGGGTGATGAAATGGGTGTTTGAGTTGGAGCTGGGCCTGAAAATGCTTTGCCAAGTTTAGGGGGAGCTGAAACTAGTGTTTGAGTCGGTGCTGGGCTTGGAGATGATTTGCCAAGTTTAGGAGGAGTTGAAACTGGCGTTTGAGTCGGAGCTGGGCTTGGAGTTACTTTCCCAGGTTTAGGAGGAATTGAAACTGGTGTTCGTGTCGGAGCTGGGCCTGGAGATGCTTTGCCAGGTTTAGGAGGAGCTGAAACTGGTGTCAAAGACGGAGTCGGGACAGGAGATCGCTTTGGTGTGTGAATTGGTGGACTAGAAGTGGGAGGAGGAATATTAGTCTTTGATGGTGTCGGAGGAGGTGATGCTTGGGATGAAGGAGTTGGTGGAATTGATGTCGGTGGTTTTGATGTGGGAGGTGGAGTATAACTCTTTGATGGTGTCAGATGAGGTGATGGTTGGGATGATGGGGTTGACGGAGTTGATGTTGGAGGTGGATTATAACCCGTTGATGGTGTTAGAGGAGGTGATGCGTGAGTGGAAGGAGTTGGCGGAGTTGATGTTGGTGGCTTGGACGTGGGAGGTAAAGAATAAGTGTTATATTCTTGAGGAGGTGATACTTGTTTTAAAAGGCTTGGTGGAGTTGAAGTTAGTGGCTTAAAAATGGGAGGTGGAATATATATGTTACTTCTTTTGGTGGAGGTGATACTTTGGATGAAGGGCTTGGTGGAGTTGAAGTGGGTGGCGGAGTATAACTCTTAGATGGGGTTGGAGGAGGTGAGACTTTGGATGGTGGAGTTGATGATGGGGGCTTAGATGTTGGTGGTGGAGTATAAGTTTTTTCTTCTTCTGGTGGAGGCGATATTTTGGATGAAGGGTTTGGTGGAGTTGAAGTTGGTGGCTTGGAAATGGGAGGTGGAGTATAAGTTTTTTCTTCTTCCGGTGGAGGTGATATTTTGGATGAAGGGCTTGGTGGAGTTGAAGTTAGTGGCTTGAAAATGGGAGGTGGAGTATAAGTTTTTTCTTCTTCCGGTGGAGGCAATACTTTGGATGAAGGCCTTGGTGGAGTTGAAGATGGTGGCTTGGAAATCGGAGGTGGAATATAAGTTTTTTCTTCTTTTGGTGGAGACAATACTTTAGATGAAGGGCTTGGTGAAGTTGAAGTGGGTGGTGGAGTAAAACTCTTGGATGGGGTCGGAGGAGGTGATGTTTGGGATGAAGGATTTGGTGGAGTTGATGATGGTGGCTTGAATGTGGGAGGTGGAGTATAGCTTGTTGATGGCGTTGAAGGAGGTGTTGATTGGGATGAAGGGGTTGGTGGCTTTGATGTGGAAGGTGGAGTGTAAGTCGTTGATAGTGTCGGAGGAGGTGATGCTTTGGATGAAGGAGTTGGGGGAGTTGATGTTGGGGGCTTTGATGTGGGAGGTGGAATGTAACCCATTGATGGTGTTGGAGGAGGTGATGCTTGGGATGAAGGGTTTGGCCGAGTTGATGTTGGTGGCTTTGATGTGGGAGGTGGATTATAACTCGTTGACGGTGTTGGAAGGGGTGATGCTTGGGATGAAGGGGTTGGCGGAGTGGATGTTGGTGGTTTTGATGTGGGAGGTGGAGTATAACTCGTTGATGGCATCGGAGGAGGTGATGCATGGGATGAAGGGGTTGGTGGAGTTGGTGTTGGTGGCTTGGATGTCGGAGGTGGAGTATAACTCTTTTATGGTGTCGGAGGAGGTGATGCTTGGGATGAAGGGGTTGGTGGAGTTGAAGTTGGCGGTTTTGATATGGGAGGTGGAATATAACTCTTTGATGGAGTCGGAGGAGGGTATGCTTGGGATGTAGGTGTTGGCGGTGGAGGAAGTGATGTTGTTCCACACTTCCATTCACATTGATCAAGGATTTTGGATGTGAAATTATTGTTTGTCAAGAGCAAAACATCAATATTCTTTTCAAAGAGTTTTGTTGGAATTGGCCCTTCGAAATTATTGTTTCTAATGTCAAGGTTAGAAAGGTGATTCAACTCTAGAACAACATTTGGAAATTTACCTACGAAACGGTTGTTATTGACATCAAGCTCTTCCAAATGTTGCAGCTTAGAGAAACTATCCGGGATGATTCCACAAAATCGGTTAGTGTTTATGTGGAATGTGGTGAGATCAGTCAAGAGCATGAGCTCAACCGGAAAGTACCAGCTATGTCAGCATTGTTAAGATGGACACCAGAAACAACTTTCAATTTAGGATCATCGCGTGCTGGTGAACAGAGTATACCATTATAGGCACACACATTCGCACCAACCCAATTTCCAGTTGTGTTAAAGGGGTCGGAGTACATTGCTTTTTTCCATGCTTGAAGAGCAATATATGCTCTCTTGAGCCTTGGGTTTTCAAAAGTTAAGCTAGCATCAAAGTTATAGCCAGACTCATCTTTCCTCTGCGAAAGGTCTTGTAGTTGTCTATGCGCAATGTAGGATGCCTCAGCATCAGTTAAAGCCAAAGAAAAGGACGAGAATGAGAGAACAAAAGAGAGAGAATTAGAAAGTAGGGTGAGACTTTCATGTTTTGCTCCAAACCACCACCTTGGATTGTTCCAAGGCTGCTTGCAATGATCTATGCGTCCAGTGGAGGGTGTTATAGGGAGGTGGTGGGAGGGAGGTTTGAGTGACTACTGGTAGTAGCTTCCATTTTTAACCCCGGAATTTTTGGTGCTGTAATGTATTGCACTAAATTTGAAGGTGCCACTAATTTTATGAACAATGCCAGTTAAGATTTAGGTTATTTTCCCTTTATAGCTCATGCCTATTGTATTGCACTAAACCCAATTTGTTTTGCTAAAGTAACAACTTCACGTTTTAACAAACCGGTTAAAATACCACTTTACCTTTTAACAAATCTTGCAGGAGTAACTGCTCCAGAAATTATTAGAAATAATAATAATAATAATTGGACGCGTGAAAAATCAAAATTTTTTTTTCTTTTCTTAATACATAGTTTGTTCTAGATAAATTAATAAATTTTATTATACATAATTTGTTTTTAGAATAATGTCATTAAGAGAGTTATTTAATGGACCACGAATTTTTCATATTAATTAAGACTTCTTTTTAAGACATATAAAAAATTAAATAAATAATTTGATACATCTCTCAATTTAACGATTAAATATGGGGATTTCATTTCAACATGGCTCCCATTCATTTTCAAATGAAAGGTATGGTGCCAGCGTCAAAAGTCTGCAACATTTCTTTTGGCTTAGTAATATTTTTATTTTATTATTATTATTATTATTTTTTTGACAACAATAACGTGTTTACCGTATTGTTAATGTCCGGACCAATTTCCCTCGCAATCACGTGTTTACATCTTTCAAAAATGCTCTGAACCAAACTGAACTTCTCTTCCTTTCTCTCTGGTGTTAAACCCTAGCAAGATTTTTGGCAATCTCTACTCATGGTTGTCATCCATCATTGTGTAACCCATCAGTCTACCCATAAGTTCTCTGCAATAGAAGATTCATCAGAAGTTTGCACTCTCAAGTTTTCGCACTGTGTGGAGTTGGAATCGTGTCTAGGGTTTCTGCAACGCGAGAGCTTTTCGACGACCATTTACATATCAGTTGTAAGTAATCTTTTTGCTCTGTTTCTCGCAACTATCTGTATACCCATGTAAGAATCCCTAAAGCAATTGAAGTTGAAACCCTAGTTTGAAACTTAACATTATAAGTATTGTGATTTTCGACTTGCAATTATGGAAATGAGTAGCTAACAATTGATTCTTTTTGTCATTTTTCAATTTTTAGGTGTGGTTTCTCAGAATTTTGACTTTAGTCTTTTTGATTTACCAAACCTTTTTCCCATTAACCCTTTTTGGTTTGATGGTGGAAAAGATTTCCCCATTTTTTTCCCGTTAACCCTTTTTGGTTTGATGAAATTGAGATTTGAGAAGGAAATCTGAGGAGTTATGCCTGGCTGTTGTATTTTATTTATTTATTTATTTTATTTGTATGTGAAATGGATTCTTTAATTGATTAGGTTTCTTTTGTTGAAATGCAAAATTTTTTAGTAGGAATATTTGCAAACAATTGGAATGGAATTTTTATTTAGACATCGCTTCTTTGTAGTCTTAAGCTTAAATACTTTATACTTCAACACCTACTTCAGTTTGATTTAGTCTAAAAGTCTATTTTTTACTTCTTCCTTTGTGATTCATTCTTGCAGTAGTCATCTTAGCGATGAAAAAAATTGAAAAACAATGTATAATTAACTTGACAATGGTCGTGCAGTCTTTTTTTAATGTATAATTAACTTGACAATGGTTGTGCAGTCTTTTTTGGGGTTTAATATTGGATTTACCAATACAATTTGCTTACAAGTGATATTAGGAAAGATATTTACAAATGGATATAGGTTAATACTTAATACTAAAAATATGAATTCTAATTAAGTGGTATCAAAAGAATAGAGGAGTGGTTTGTGGATCCCTGCAGTATTTGATGGAATTAAATTGGAAGATGTTACAAATGTTCCATTGCCCAGGATGACTTGTGATTTGTTGTGCCTGATTCTGACTTCTAATATATTATGAGGTTTAATGGTTCAGAAAATTGAATAGAAATAGGACTCTCTCTCTCTCCTTTTTTTTTTTGGGTAAGGTCCGTGATGGGAGAATCTGCTAGGGAAATTGCTTAGGGTGGAAAATTTTGGTGGTTTTCAGTTTTTGCCTTTATTGGGAGGGGGTCTAATTCAACAATTAGCTTATGCTTTTTTTTTTCTTCAATGAATTTTAGAAAAAGAAAAGAAGCAGTCATATTTATTTTCTTATACTTTCTCTTTCCTTTTTGTATGAATTTATTCTAGGGTACTCTAAGAATGACATCATTGCTCTGGTGTTGGTTTGCATTCAAGGGACAAGTGGGCAGGTAAGGCATCAAGAATTTGTGTTAACTGACATATATTTCCACTAACTTCGATGTATTTCAATCCACCAAATAGCATTGATTCTTGTTCTAGCATTTTTTATGCACTCTGGTCACTTTAGTTTAACTTTTGCCTTACTCCACATAGGTGAATTGCCTTTTTATTATTATTATTATTATTTTATATATTTTAAAATTGGAGTAGCTTCTTCAATTTGTGGTTATGATTGGTCTTACCATCCAATGCCAAGTGTTTAATTTTAATTTTTAATTTTTATTTTCCTGAATGAATCAAGTTGCTTCCAAATGTCTCTTATTTTGGCCTGTTGGATATTGTGACTGTCTCATTAACTGGGCAATGATTACCGTTAAAGGAAATACTGTGGTTGTACTTTAAACAAGGAAGTTTTGGCTGCTGCAGTAAACACTGGGTGGAGGGAAAGGAACACTTGATTATTTAAAAATGACTTCAGGGATATTTCTACTCTCCAAAGAGAAATTACCGAGGTTGTCAGACTGAAATATAATTCTCTTAATGGGTTTGTTGATAATTCAGAAAATCAGTGGATTATTAGAGAATGGAATTTACCTGAATCGGTCTTAAGTAAGAAGCTAAAGTAATGTGGTGGTTATGCTAGGTTCTGCACCCGTGTGTCGGTATTTGTTTTGGTTCCTTGGTACTCAGAACAGGATAGGTACTGCAGATTTGCATGAGATCAGTTTGGCAGTCTTGCTCTGGACCATTTGCTGGACTCTTGTTGTCATTATAAGTTGTTGGCCTGTTATAACTCTGTTTTTGGGTGCTTTAAGCTGGATTGGAGCAAGTTCATTTTCTTCAAGGAAAGGGCTGCAATAGTTGGTGTTGTGCCAACACAGAGTTTTGACCTATTACACTGTTTCTGGTTTTGCTTTGAGGTTTACAGGTTTTGATATTAGGTTTTTTGGTGAGAGTTTCTTTTTGTTGGTGGTGGATTAGTTTTCTATGCCTTTTGAGTATTGTCCTTGTTGGCTGTAGGTTTGATTGTGTTTTTGTGTTGTTTTGTTGGTGGGGAGGAATGCTTCCTTGAATGCTGTACTGACAGTTTGTGATTTTGGAATAAAAATCATTCTTGCTTCTTCAAAAAAAAAAAAAAAAGCGGAGTCAATCTGTGGTCCTATCAATTATTATTATTTTTAACTGGAAAAGTTTTATTTTTCTTTTCTCATTATGCATTGGTGGCATTGGAGCTTTTTTGATGCTGGGGGATGCCCCTTGAATACTTATTTAAATTTGTTAATGAAAGTCTGATTACCTAAAAAAGTTTCTATAATTATTCACTCTTTGTTAGGCAAAAAGTGTTGGTGTGCACTTGTTAATCTCTTCAAAGAACTTTTGAACCAAGTATTGCTCCAAGATAACATGAACTTCATAAATCATCTATTATGAATGTCTTTATGCCCTGATAATTCTGTTAGCTGCCTGATTTATTCACTAATTATGAGTTTTATTTTGACTTTCTTCTTCGATTTTTATTTTGAGATTGTGAATTTGATTTTGAGTTTGGTTGCAACAGCACAAAGACGACTGACAACAGCCCAACAGCGACCAAGTACTGCAATTTTAATGGTGAGTTTCTAGCTACTTCCTTTTTTTCCATTCTTTTCCTCTGCTTTTCTAGTAATCATACCGAAAATAAAAATAGTATAATTATTCCATGTTAATGTTTTATGTTTTACAAGTGCCTGAACAGATAGGATCAAATTAAGTTTAGTTTGGCTTTGGCTTTATTCTTAATAAACATAAAATCAAGAACCACATTGTATGTTGTGCATTAGCAGTGAGACGGGCGGTATTTCTTCTTACACTTTCAATAAATAAATTAAAATATTCTATTAATGTGTATTAACTACTTTGTCAAGATTATCAATCTGGGCAGCTTGTGCAACCTCTACAAATTCAGTAAAATAGAAAACAACCCTCTCCATAACAAAGACAGGATTCCACTTAATCCCATTAATTCATTTGTCATATAAGTTCATCCTTATATGCCCTTTTTGTTGCTGACTTGCTCGATGAATATAATTATATTGCTGCGTACACTTGGTGTCATGAAATATCAAATTTGTTGTAGACTTGGCATACATGTCCACATAAATTTTGTACTATTTCTTCCTACAAATTCTAGTTGTAGGATGCTCTTGATACAATAAACCCTTTTACATGTGAATCTGATGAATCATGGAGTGTCTGGAGACCCAAAAAACTAAATGGTTCAAATCATCAAGTTATTAGTAATTTTTCTTTTTCTTTTTATTTTTGTGTGTGTGAGTATAGGGGTGGTGGTCCTTAGATGAAAGCTCCTAAATCCATAACCTCTGAGAATAGTTGGGGTTGTTCCTAGATTAACTTCTTTAGACACACATACAGATTTCAATGTATTAGAAACTTGTGAGGTCTATGGGATAGAGGTGTTAGGTGCTAACTTTTTATTTTGAAGCACAAATATTATATTTTAATAAAACAAATAATAAAAACATGTAAGCAATCCACATTAACAGATATTAATAAAGAAATCAAGAGAAAACAATAATAATAAAGTAAATTAGAAAGTCTTGATTTGAACAAACTAGAGGCATGCTAGGCATTGTCCTAAAGAAGAACGTAATATCCTCATCTATTTATATTGCATATTGTCCTTTCACTTCAAAGAAATGATGGAATATGGATATCAATCGAGCATCAAGTCATTAAGGGCAGAGTCCGCCGCCAGTGAATTTTTATATAGTTATACTACATTCTTAAAATTGTCAAAATTCAAAAAATGTCCCCACTAAATGTTTATCAAAACACTTCTATATGCCCCAAAACCCGCCACAATCATCGTCTCTCTCTCTTTAAACTTCACGATATGCCGAGCTTCTTGGATATGGGTTGACCACAAATTTTCTAAGATTGTCTTTAATTACCATCTTGGTCTATAAAAAAAATCTAAGATTAATCATATCAAACCTGTTAGTTTTTTTATTTCTATTTTACTAAATTAGAAATTTTATGACTATGCATGCATTTTGTTAAAATTTCTTTAATTTGAATTACCTTTAATATGTTAACTAGATGAAAACTGAAATGTAAGTATTTACTTAAAAAAATAATTGAAATGGAAGTATGAGCCATTTTAAATGAAAATACAAGTTAAAGTTCTGTCGGCTGCCCTCTCTCAAATCATTTCTTGTTCTGTCGCTTGTCACTGATATCAATCATGTGATGGATAGAAATTTTACCTATTCATCACTAAAAAAGTTGGACCAACTATAATGACAGAGCCAGAAAATTATTTGCGACTTGCAAGGGCGCGACCTTAGAAAATAATAAGATAAATTCCAAGTTACCATAAAAGGGGAGCTTAATTAAAAATTTAGTGAAAGCATTACGAGAAATTTATCTAAATTATAAGTGTTCAATATAAATAATAAAAAAATTCAGTGGCAGCGGACTCTCCCACTCTAATGTAGCTTAGTCTCTGACCAACTAGAATTTAGTGGCATAAAACCTGGAAGTGAACTATAAAATTATTTTGGAGATAGATAGAAAGAATTTTGTGTTAGTGGTTTAAATAAAACCCGGAAGTGAACTATAAAAATAATTTTGGAGTAAGAAATTGATACGCAAGATAATCTTAAAGTTGTGAAGAAAAGGACAACTTGTCTTCTATCAGAATTCTGGAGGAGTCCTGTCCAACTAAGTCTGTCCGGTCTATATAGAATTCTTCTTGATGAAAATCATGATTACTTGGGCTAACCAACATAGCTCCCTAAACATCTCATAATATTTTGTGATTGAACTTAGATTGAGCTTACGTCTGCCTCTTTCGACATAGTACATGAGAAATTCTTCTTTATATTAAATTATTTATAAAAGAAACAATTTGTTTTTTATTTTGTGATTTTTAGTTGGAACATTGAACCTAACTTACAAATATTTGGAAAATCATTTATATAAGCATACATACAAAGGATACAAATTAGTATAAAGGCGTAAATGTATGTAAGCATACATTGAAATATTTATGTAAGTGCATATATGCAGTTAAACTAAAATATTTATGTATGTGCATATATTCATGTAATTAATTAAATTTGTGTTTGTGTGCGCGACTAGCAACGTATATGTACCATGTATGAGTTTATATATATATATATATATATATATGTTAAATATTTTGGCATTAATTTTAAATATTGTTGTATAGTATATTGAAGGAAGTCACTTTTATTCCCCCAAGAAACTTTGTGAAACAACATCTATTGTAGAATATATTTTTCAGGAAATCTTTTTCGTCAGAACAAACGGAGTGTTGTTTATACGGTTCGATCAAGTACTGAGTCCATGCTGTTTTATCGTGATAAAATCATCTTAGAAGTTATGGTAACTTAACGAGCATATGACTTATTTGGTGGATTCCAAAGTGACCCAATTACTGATTGCTTGTGATCTTAATTCTATACCTTGTGTACCTGCAGTTTTAATGCAGTAAACAACTAGAACAATAGGCACCGCTAATTTTGTGAACAAACACTCATTTGAATTTTTTTTTTTCTTTCGGTAAATCTTATTTCAAATATTCATTTGCAACATATTTTAACAACTAAGTGGTCAAAATTAATTATTCAAAATACTAATAAGAGATTTGCTTGTTATTGCAAGAAAATTCATGTGGAACCACATTGTCTGCAGCAATAGGACCCTAAATTTCTTCTAGATAAAAATGTTAGTTAAAAAAAATGGTATCAATTATGTAAAACCTCTTGTTGAAGAGCGAGTTTGTACATATACTTTGAAGTCTAAATCAATGGTATAAATACATAAAAGAAATAGTTATTGGTAAACTATTTAATAACCTATCAATGGTAAAAATAAAAAAATAAAAGTTACTAGTGAACCTTTTAATAGCCTTGGTACATTGGCGGAGGTGGGGAAGAGTATTGTAAGCCCACGGTTGGTGGGAGAATGAAGTCATCGTTTCCTGGCGGTGGTAAAGAGACCGCGTGAGTAGGAGGAGGAGTTAAAGATCGTGCAGGTGTTGGTGCTGGTGGATGCGATTGCACCGATGGTGGGATAGGAGATGTCTTAGGAGGAGCTAAAACTGGTGGATGTGATTGAACTGGTGGTGGGATAGGAAATGGTTTAGGAGGAGTTGAAACTGGTGTAGAAGTTGGTGCTGGTGGATGCGATTGAATCGGTGGTAGGATAGGAGATGACTTAGGAGGAGCTGAAACCGGTGTAGAAATTGGAGTTAGGACTGGAGATGGCTTAGTGGGTTTAGGAGGTGCAGAAATTGGTGTCAAACCTGGAGTTGGGGCTAGAGATGGCTTAGGAGGTTTCTGAGGTGAACTTGGTATTTGAGTTGGAGTTGGGATTCGAGACGGTTTAGGAGGAGCTGAAATTGGTGTTTGAATCGGAGCGGGGATTGGAGATGGCTTAGGAGGTTTTTGAGGTGGAGAATTTGGTGTTCGAGTTGGGGTTGGGACTGGAGACGATTTAGGAGGTGCTAAAACTGGTGTATGAGTCGGAGTCGGGATTGGAGATGTCTTAGGAGGTTTCTGAGGTGGAGAAACTGGTGTTCGAGCAGGAGTCGGGTCTGGAGACGAATTAGGTGGTGTTGAAACTGGAGATGGCTTATGAGGCTTTTGGGGGGAACTTGGTGTTCTAGCAGGAGCTGGGACTAGGGATGGCTGAGGAGGTTTTTGAGGTGGGAAACTTAATTTTGGAGCCGGAGTCGGGATAGGAGACTGCTTAGGAGGTTTCTGGGGAGAACTTGGTGTTTTAGTAGAAGCTGGGACTGGGGATGGTTTTGGAGGTTGATAACTTAGTTTGGGAGCTGGAGTTGGGACTGGAGATTGTTTAGGAGGAGCAGAAACTGGTGTTAAAGTTGGCGTTGGGACGGGAGATGGCTTAGGAGGTTTCTGTGGAGGCTGAATTGGTGTTCGAGCCGGAGATGGTCCTGGAGATGCGTTGACAGGTTTAGGGGGAGATGAAACGGGTGTTCGAGTTGGAGTTGGGCCTGGAGATGCTTTCCCAGGTTTAGGAGGAGCCGAATTTGGCGTTTGAGTTGGAGATGGGCCTGGAGATGCTTTGCTAGGTTTAGGAGGAGCCGAAACTAGTGTTCGAGTCGGAGCGGGGCCTGGAGATGCTTTGCCAGGTTTAGGTGGAGCCGAAACTGGTGTGCGAGTTGGAGTTGGGCTTGGAGATGCTTTCCCTGGTTTAGGAGGAGTCGAAATTGGCGTTCTTGTCGGAGCTGGGCCTAGAGATGCTTTATCAGGTTTAGGAGGAACTGAAACTGGTGTTTGTTTTGGAGTTGGGCCAGGAGACATTTTGGTAGGTTTTGGAGGAGACGAAACTGGTGTCAAAGATGGAGTTGGGATAGGGGATGGCTTTGGTGTGTGACTTGGTGGACTAGAAATAGGAGGAGGAGTATAAGTCTTTGATGGTGTCGAAGGAGGTGACGATTGGGATGAAGGGGTTGACGGAGTTGATGTTGGCGGTTTTGATGTGGAAGGGGTTGTATAAGTCTTTGATGGTGTTAGAGGTGGTGATACTTGGGGTGAAGGAGTTGGCGGAGTTGATGTTGAGGGCTTAGATGTGAGAGGTGGAGTATAACTCGTTGATGGTGTTGGTGGAGGTGATGCTTGGGATGTAGGGGTTGGCGGAGTTAATGTTGGTGGAGTTGATGTGGGCGGTGGAGGTGAGGCTTGGGATGATGGAGTTGGTGGAGTTGATGATGGTGGCTTGGATGTGGAAGGTGGAGTATAAGTGTTGTATTCTTGAGGAGGAGGTGATGGTTGTTTTGAAGGGCTTGGTTGAGTTGAAGTTGGTGGCTTGGAAGTGGGAGGTGGAATATAAGTTTTTTCATCTTCTGGTGGAGGAGATACTTTGGATGAAGGGCTTGGTGGAGTTGAAGTGGGCGGCGGGGTATAACTCTTGGATGGAGTTGGAGGAGGTGAGGCTTGGGATGAAGGAGTTGGTGGAGTTGATGATGGTGGCTTAGACGTGGGAGGTGGAGTATAGCTTGTTGATGGCGTCGGAGGAGGTGATGATTGGGATGAAGGGGCTGGTGGATTTGATGGTGTCGGAGGAGGTGATGCTTCGGATGAAGGAGTTGGTGGAGTTGATGTTGGGGGCTTTGATGTTGGAGGTGGAATGTAACCCGTTGATGGTGTCGGAGGAGGTGATGCTTGGGATGAAGGGGTTGGCGGAGTTGATGTTGGTGGCTTTGATGTGGGAGGTGGACTATAACCCGTTGACGGTGTCGGAGGAGGTGATGCTTGGGTTGAAGGGGTTGGTGTAGTTGATGTTGGTGGCTTTGATGTGGGAGGTGGAATATAACTTGTTGATGGCGTCGGAGGAGGTGATGCATGGGATGAAAAGGTTGGTGGAGTTGATGTTGGTGGCTTGGATGTGGGAGGTGGAGTATAACTCTTTGATGGTGTCGGAGGAGGTAATTCTTGGGATGAAGGGGTTGGCGGAGTTGATGTTGGTGGCTTTGATGTGGGAGGTGGAATATCACTTGTTGATGGCGTCGGAGGAGGTGATGGATGGGATGAAGGGGTTGGTGGAGTTGATGTGGGTGGCTTGGATGTGGGAGGTGGAGTATGACTCTTTGATGGTGTCAGAGGAGGTGATGCTTGGGCTGAAGGGGTTGGTGGAGTTGAAGTTGGTGGCTTTGATATGGGAGGTGGAGTATAACTCTTTGATGGAGTCGGAGGAGGTGATGCTTGGGATGTAGGTGTTGGCGGAGTTGATGTTGGTGGCTTGGATGTGGGAGGTGGAGTATAACTATTTAATGGTGTTGGAGGAGGGGATATTTTTCCACACTTCCATTCACATTCATCAGGGATTTTGGATGTGAAATTATTGTTTGTCAAGAGTAAAACATCAATATTCTTTTTGAAGAGTTTTGCTGGAATTGGCCCTTCGAAATTATTGTTTCTAATGTCAAGGTTAAAAAGGTGATTCAACTCTAGGACAAAATTTGGAAATTTACCAACGAAGCGGTTGTTATTGATATCAAGCTCTTCCAAATGTTGCAGCTTGGAGAAACTATCGGGGATGATTCCACAAAACCGGTTAGTGTTTATGTGGAATGTGGTGAGATCAGTCAAGAGCGCGAGCTCAACCGGAAAGTACCCAGCTATGTCAGCATTGTTAAGATGGACACCAGAAACAACTTTCAATTTGGGATTATCGCGTGCCGGTGAACAGAGTATACCATTATAGGCACACACATTAGCACCAACCCAATTTCCAGTTGTGTTAAAGGGGTCAGAGTACATAGCTTTTTTCCATGCTTGAAGAGCAATATAAGCTCTCTTGAGCCTTGAGTTTTCAAAAGCTAAGCTAGCATCAAAGTTATAGGCAGACTCATCTTTGATCTGCGAAAGGTCTAGAAGTTGTCTATGCACAATGTAGGATGCCTCAGCATCAGTTAAAGCCAAAGAAAAGGATGAGAATGAGGAAAACAGAAGAGAGATAATAAGAAGGTAGGCTGAGACCTTCATGTTTTGATGGTTAGGAATGCCAAACCACTACCTTGGATTGTTCCAAGGCTGCTTGCAATAATCTATGGGTCCTGTCGAGGGTCTTATATAGTGGTGGAGGGAGGTTGATTTGAGAGACTACATCAGTAGTCTTAGTTTTTAACTAATTTGTTTAATTTATTGCTCTAAATTTGAAGGTTCTCCTAATTTTGTGGACAATGCCAGCTAAGATTTAGGTTGTTTTCCCTTTATAGCTCATGTTTTAATGTATTGTACTAAAACTAATTGTTTTGTTATAATACAAATTTCACCTTTTAACAATGTTTGCCTGGAATAACTGGACCCAATAAAATTGTCAGGGAAAAAAAATTGGACCCAAGAAAAATCATTTTTCATTTATACATAGTTTGTTCTATATAAATTGATAAATTTTATTATGCGTAGTTTATTTATTTTATTTTATTTATGCTACTAAAAGTGCTCTCTCCTGATAAGAGTCTTGAATTCTCTATATTTAACCATTGATGAGACTGTTTTTTGAGATCTATAAAAAAATAAATGAATAATCTTTTAATCCAACTGTTAAATACACAGAGATCATTACTCTTGTGATGAGAGGATACCCTTGATAGCATTACTATGGTTTTTATCATTTTTTCTTAGTCTTTTGGACTCTGTTTCTACGTATGATGAGTTCTGCTTTAAGATTTTGGTTTTATTGCTTAGCGAAAAATATTGACTTATTTATTATTATTATTATTATTTACCTTTCAAAAAAAAAATATTTATTTTAAAAATTTCTTCTTTTTGGTTTTCTTTTACCACATAATGTATAAACACACTGTTATTTAATGACCACCATATCCTGCAACATTGACGGTTTTGATGATGAGAATCCTAATGCATGATACTCGAGCTGAATTTTGATTTTTATTAAATTATTGAAGATAGTTGGAACCAGGTGTCATGATTGTCCTATGAAATTTCAATTTCAACATTTTTGTAATCAGAACTACAAATGGGAGCTAGAGAAAAATTATTACATGGTTCGGATCATATGCTCTCGGTCAATTACATTCCGTCATGTAAGCAAATGTTATTGAGTATTTTGCTTGGCAGTTTGTTATTGGCAGGGACTAGATCATGTAATAATTTCTCGAAGCTAGAAGTGTAGAGTTATGATAACATCATTGCTCCTATTTATCATTATTATTATTATTTTTATCCTTTCACCCTTTATTAGAAGGAGAAGATTGTAAAAGAGTTCAGTTTTCAAAATTAGTTTGCATTGTTTTAGAGTTTGAAGGCTTGAATCAACAGTGATACATCGAGATCATGTCTTCATTTTTCTTGACCATAAAGAAATTTAAATTACATTCGGAAGCCAACTCAACCAAACCGTCCCACTAGAGGTCAGCAGCTCTACGAGTAAGAGTCCATTTACTCAGTACATGAGCAACTTGGTTATGATGGATTTTAACATCTGCATCTCCATAACTTCAATGCACGAGGAGTCGCAACCCTTCCCTAACCACCACAGTATCTGCCAGCTCTAGACTCGCAACATTAGACTGGAAAATATAGACCACTTCTTTAACACTAGAAGCCTTCCATCACACTGTCTTGGCTTGCTCTTATAAGCTACATTGACATTCAATTTGAATCAACCCGAGATCAGAGCCCCCTCCAACTCGAGTTTAGAGCAACGACATTTGAAGAGTTGCAATTATCAACCTGGGCAGCTTGTGCAACCTCTACAAATTCATTAAAATAGAAAATAGCCCTCTCCATAACAAAGACAGGATCCCACTTAGTCCCATTATCATTATTGTTATTATTCTTTAAGGTTTTTTTTCCCCCTTTTCGGAAGGTATTATTCTTTAAGTTCATACACATGCATAAGTAGACACGATTTAGCAAATTTTTTTAACTTTTGATTTTATTTATTATTATTACTTTTTGGGTTAGGATTTGTTAGTTTGAGTTCATCCTTTATATGCCCTTTTTTGTTGCTGACTTGATGGATGAATATAAAATTATATTGCTGCGTAAACTTGGTGTACACTTAATATAAATTCTGTACTAATTTCTTCCTACAAATTCTAGTTGTAAGATGCATTGGCATAATTATGCATCTGTCCTTTATTGAATATAAAAACTCATAAATTGTTATGAAAAATACTGAAAATCGTAATACCATATACCCTTTTACATGTGAATCCGCTGAATTATGGAGTGCCAGGAACCAAATGGTTCAAATCATCTTGTGAGGCGTATGGGATAGAGGTGTTGGGTGCTATTTTTTAATTTTATTTATTTATTTTTAAGCACAAACATTATGTATATATTTTCGATAAGCGGGGTGTCTAGGGCTTTTGCCCCGACTAATAAGCACATATATTATATTTTAAGAAAACAAATAATAAAAATAAGAATTATTATTGAAATTTATTTCTGAAACATGTAAAATAAAAATATCTATTAAGTCAAAGTTCTGTAGGTTGTCGCCTCTCAAATCATTTTGTGGCTTCATCACTAATATCAATCATGTGATGGTTACAAATTTTACCTAGTCATCCTAAAACAACGTTTGTCCAACTATAATGACAGAGCCAGAAAATTATTTGAGAGGGCGCAACCTTAAAAAAGATTACTTCTAAACTACCATAATAGGAGAGCTTAATAAAAAATTTAGTGAAAGCATTACTAAAAATGTATCAAAATTATAATTATTCAAAATAAATGAATAAAAATTCAGTAGCCGCGCTCCAACTTGAATTACTCAAGTCTCTGACCAACTAGAATTTAGTGTTAGTGCTTTTTTTTTTTTGATAAGTAAAACGTATTAGAAGGCGTTCAAAAGGGGAACGCGTCCTAAGAGCTGTACATAAACCAGAAAAAAGAAAGTAGAAAAAACCTATGAACTCAAAGAGCTCAAAAAATCCACAATTTCCACAAAAGAAGAATAATTTCTCCCCTAGCCCTAACAAAAAAGGGTACAAATAATAGAAAATTTCAGCGCCTCAATGGAGGACACCTCCCCATCAAAAGATCTTCTATTTTGCTCTCTCCAAAGACTCCACCAAACACAAAGGGGAGTCGCCCTCCAAAAGTCTCTAGCATGCACCCCCACCCATTGGCCCCTCTAACTGTCCATCAATTCCCTAGTTGTTCGGGGCATGACCCAATGGACATCAAACAAACCGAAAATGAGACTCCAACAGTCGTGAGCCACAAGACAATGCAGCAAAAGGTGATCCACGGACTCTCCATCAATCATGCAAAGACAGCACCGATTGATATGCCTTTTCTTTCTCAAATTGTCCAAAGTCAGGATTTTACCCTAAGCTGCGGTCCACGCAAAAAATGCTACCCTAAGAGGTGCCTTTGACGACCACACCGTCTTCCACGGGAATGTGGAACCATGAAACCCAGAGAGACAGAAAAAGAAGCACCGGACTTGAAACGTCCCTTACGCAGAAGGCACCCAAGACAAGGAATCCGCACCAGTGCCCTCCACTTCCTGTCTATACAAGAGAGCCAACAAACCAGTGACATCATCCAACTCCCAATCCTGAAAGGATCGTCGGAATCGCACATCCCAAGACAACCTACCACTATCAAGACGATAACAGTCAGTAACCATAACATGTTTGTCAACAGCAATCCTGAACAGCCTAAACAAGAGAGACAATGGGCCATCCTCACACCAGGGATCCTCCTAAAATTGGACATCTCTTCCATCCCAAACTTTGAATCTAATATGCTTTGAGAACTCGTCCCACCCCTTCCCGATGGAATGCCACACCCGTACATCAACAGCAGACCTGACTGGCCTAGCTGACCACCCCCCTCTTTCCTCCCTAAAGCGACGCGAAATAACCTTCCTCCAAAGCCTATGTCTTTCGCTGCCGAACTTCCAAAGCCGCTTACCAAGAAGGGCACTGTTGAAGGGGGGCCAATCTCCTAATCCCCAGCCCTCCCAATTGAAAAGGCCTGCAAACCTGCTCCCACCGGACAAGATGGTACTTAAACTCCTCACCTCGACCCCTCCAAAGGAAATTCCGTTGAAACATCTCAAGTTTTCCAACAATAGAGGAGGGAATCTGAAAAAGCTAGAGGAAGTACGTTGGGAGACTGGACAAAGTACTCTTCACTAAGGTGACTTTACCACCCTTGGAGAGATATTGCTTTTTCCATCCAGCCAATCTTCTCTCAAACCGTTCAATCCATAGTTGTTAAAGGCTCAAGGGGCACAAAAGCGCAAATGCCTCCTGGAGCCTGAGGCGCAAGGCGAGGCGCGCGCCCGATTGAAGCAAGGCGCACGTTGAAAAAAAAAAAAACAAAACCCACCCAATAAAGTATTAAAGATGCAATAGTATATATAAAGATGTAAAAGTCAACTAAATGAATTACTTAAGTTAAATATTCAACATAAAATGCCAAAACCAAGTAAAGTCCAATTCAAAGTGTCTACTTGCATTAATCTTATTGTGCCCAAAATCATAATGTTACTGCATTTAGCTGTCATTATTACCAAGTAAAGTCCAATTATAAAGATGCCAAAACCAAGTAAAGTCCAATTATAATGTTACTGCATTTTGCTGTCATTATTACCAATTCAAAGTGTCTACTTGCATTAATCTTATTGTGCCCAAAATCATGCAGAAGGTTATGTATGATGGAGAAAGATCAAATTTTGTCTTCACCTTAAAGTCCAACATCTTTCTGATACCCACATGCACAAAATTGTATATACAAAACGCAAACAACGATCTTTTTATTGCCATGTAGTATGAAATAAAGAACAATAGTTATAGTCATAACAAACACAGATAACTGAAAAAAAAAAAAAAAAAAAAAAAAAAAAAAAAAAAAACCGACCATCTTAAATAACAACTCCAACTCTACAAACAAACTAAACTCTTTCAAATAAAAAGAAGAGCTGTAGACAGTCCAGAGTCCAGACTCGAGAAAAAAAATAAAATAATAAAACAAAGATAAATAAAAAAATAAAAAGA